AGACAAACAGGAGCAGCCTCTCATTCACAAGCCCTGGTCCTCATGGGGAATTTTAACCACCTCCATATCTGTTGGAGGGACAACAGAGAGGGCATAAAAAATCTAGGATGTTCCTGAAAAGCTTCCTTCTCCAAGAGGAGCCAGCAAGAGAGGTGCTATGCTGGACTTTATTCTCTCCAACAAGGAGGAGCTAGTGGGGAATGTGAATCTAAAGGGAAGCCTTGGTGGCTATGGTGGAGTTTGAGATCCTTTGGGTAGCAAGAAAGGTGCACAACAAGGTCACTACCCTGGACTTTGGGAGAGCAGACTATCTGGCACTGGGACCAGTGCTGTTTATCATCTGTGATGGTGACATGAACAGTGGGGTCGAGTGCATCCTAAGCAAGTTTCCCAATGACACCAAGCTGTGTGGTGCCATTGACACACTGGAGGGAAGGGATTCCATTCAGTGGATCCTTGACAGCCTTGAGAAGTGGCCCCATGCAAACCTCATGAAGTTCAACAAGGCCAAGTACAAGGTCCTGCACCTGGGCCAGAGCAACCCCAAGCACAAATGCAAGTTGGGCAGAAAAAGGACTGAGAGCAGCCCTGAGGAGGACTTGGGGGTGTTGGTTGACGAGAAGCTCAGCCCAGCTGTGTGTCCTTGCAGCCCAGAGAGCCAGTATAGTATCCAGGGTTACATCAAAAGCAGCATGACCAGCAAGTTGAGGGAGGTGATTCTGCCCCTCTACTTGGCTCTTGTGTAACCCATCCAGCTCTGGGGTCACCAGCATAGTAAAGACATGGACCTGTTGAAGTGAGTCCAGAGGAGGGTCAGTGAGGTGACCAGAGGCTGGAGCACCTCTCCAATGAAGACAGGCTGAGAGAGTTGGCATTGTCCAGCATGGAGAAGAGAAGACTCCAGGGAGATGTTATGGCAACATTTCAGTACTTAAACAGGTTACTTTTGACAAGGGCATGTGTGATTGGAGAAGGAGGGATGGCCTTAAGCTGAAAGAGAGGAGGTTTATATTAGATATCGGGAAGAAATTCTTTACTGTGAGGGTGGTGAGGCAGTGGAACAGGTTGCCCAAAGAAGTTGTGGATGCCCCATCCTTGGAAGTGTTCAAGGTCAGGTTGGACAGGGCTCTGAGTAACCTGGTCTGTTGGAAGGTGACCCTGCCCATGGCAGGGGGCTGTAACTAGATGACCTCTAAAGTCCTTTCTAACACAAATAATTCTATGAGTCTGTGATGACATCTGTAATGAAAATACCTTTTTCCACATTAAACTCAGAAGAAATTTCACTGAAAAGGAGATCTATATTTTCACCTGCAGACTAGATTACTTCAGTTTACTCTATCCAACTCTGAATGTGAAACCTGCAAAAAGATACCAGCTTGGACTGAACACATCTACATTCTCCATGCTAGACTAATATAAACATTCAACCTGATTCTGAGGCTGACTTCCTGACAATTCAGGGATTTATTTTTTAACTAACATTAATGGCAAACAACACTAGAGAGCAATTTCATGTACATAGCCACTCAATTCACAACAAGACAAAGATTTAGTGTGTAGGAATATCAGATACTGTACAAATCCAAATGAGGAAAGACTAATTGAATCAGATTCTGGATTATAACACAAGAAATTAAATTTTGAAACACCTTTCACTGCTAACAAAACCCCACACTCATCAGACACTCCTTTTGATATCCCAGAGCTACTGTGAAGCTCCTTAGTACCTATACGAATTTCAGGAGACCACTTTCCAACATGTATTATGGGTCTACATTTCATTAAGCACACTGAAGATCATTGTTTAACTAAAAGAGTTACAGGAATTTCTAAAATGAGTCAATGATATTGTCATTTCAAGGATCTAGTCAAAATGGTATACAAATTCAACTTAAATTTTTGAAGCAAAAATTGCCTTATATTGGTGCTTCTGACTTCCTGCTTTGGAAGATTTGTTTTTAAGAATGGTCCAAAAAATAAACTAGTGACAGAAAAACATGGCATGATCCCAAATGTGGATCCAATCTGAATTTCGTTAGAAAAACAGCAGCTTACTAAAACAACAAAGTTCAGAAAAGCATGCACATGACTGGTAGTTCCTCTCAAAGCTTGTATTTGCCTGACAAAGTGGTCTCAAGTCCCTCTGGAGCAGTAATTCCAGCTAGGTCATAGCATATCTGAATATACAATTTGATCAGTTTTGATAGCCCTTGAACTGATATAGCTTGACCTTTATACTCTTTGCCATAAGCCACTACCAACCTTATGAACTTTCCTAAGTATTTAGTCTTGTCAAGATATTATCTGACAACCCTTTTAACATCCAACATATGCAATGAGCTCTCCCAAGAAGATGCTAATGCATAAGGAAAACATATGTAGATGAAAATTCGAAAGCAGTTTTGTCAAGATTTTAGAGGGGCCATAGCAATATTTTTTTTTTCTCACAAAAAGATACCTAAAGGTTCTCCTATTCAAGCATGCTGTTCTGGATTTACCTGACTGAAGTTATTGTTAATAATGTGCTCTTGTTAAAATTATTTCTACTGTTTAATATTATTATAAATAATATTTTGTCAACGGAAGGAGGAAAATTAGGGGAAAACTGTCAGATATTCAGAGAACCCTTAAGCTTCCAAGACATGATCAGTTCTCAAAGATCCAAGAACACTTACTCCAAGACTTCTTATCTTCTAGATATGTAAGTTTTCAGCAATAAGAACTGTTGCTCTATTATGTATGTTAAACTGTTATGCTTATCCCCTTAAATTACTGCTTCTGCAAAAACAGGGAAGAAACCTTATTTAACACAGACTCCAGGTAACGAGGATTTTTTTGCAGGCTATTTATACTTTTTTCCTGGCAAAATACACAGGGAGTATTTTCTCCTTCCCTTCTTCACCATCCTGCAATATTCTGAAATAATTATTATACTCTATCTATTGCCACTGCCTTAGTATGGAAAAAACGTTTTAATATAGAAGAGTAAGTTCTGATCATTATTCCTAAAACAATCAGTGATTATCATTTTTCTAGGTCACTGAATATCTTTTGAAAAGGAACAAAATGCGGGAAAACATAAAATAAAAATTCCCACCAGAAGACAATATTCTTTGCAATATTCAGTTTTTGAAAGGCAATGTGACTCTGCTGCAGCACAGAAACTAAACACTTCCATTGGACAAAATCAGAGGAACACAATAAAAGAATGCATAAATAAACATGGTTTTTTGCAGTCTACAGTTTGAGCTGTGTCCTATTATCAATGAAGCCACTATTTTTTAGGTAAATACACAATACAAAATGAAATGGTGACATAGGAAGTGGTGGAAACAGAAGTATACAACTATCAATGGCAGAGCATGATCAGTCTGACATTGCTTTTGCACTGTCAGCACAGGTGAACCCTAGCTCATCTCCTACTTTAAAACTCTAGAACTAATAAATCAACCAAGTGACACCGAGTGTTGTAAACCATGGCAGTGAACTAAGGAGACTGAAGGAGTTCAGGGCTACAGTGCAAAGGACTGCAGCCTTGTTCAGCCCAAATTCTACCTAAACACTGTGCATTTCCTATCACCAGCGTGTGCCTCTGAAGACCTAAAATCAAGAAATAAACTGCACAAAGAGATTATGTAGTTTGTGAGCATCTGAATTAGTACACAGCATTCCCTGGCAGTTTAGAGGAGAAGTTTACACATGGAAAAACACTGCACCTACTTCTATTACAAACAATAGTATTTTTCAAAGAAAAAGTTATCTCTTGAACCCTTCTAACATCAATAAGTGTAATCTCAGAAAATGGAAAATTAAGACTTCATAAAGCTCTAAACAATTTTGTACTTGACTTTACACCCAGATGCAAATTTAAAATGACCTGCATGAAGCATTGTGGGGTTGGTTTAGTTTGGTTTGTTTTTCTTGTTGTTTCATTTTATAACCTTGCAAAAATGTCACAGTTTAATGATAGCCACTTGTTTGTGTTAAATCTTAGTTTCTATGATTGACTCTAATTTAAAGGTCCCAGGTAAAAAAAAATACACTTTTTGACTCGAGTTCTCCAGAACAGACTCCACTGTGCAGAGAATGCAAAATCCCAGACTCTCAGAGAGCCACTTAGAGGCTGCAAAACAAGTATCAATTTAGGGGTGCTTAAGTTACTGTTGCAGTGATACCTGTTAAGGCAAAACCTAGCGGTAGATACATACAAAACTGAACAGGGAAAAGAAGAACAAAGTAGGAGAAAAGAAAATAAAAACAACAAAACCCCCACAAACATAGTAATGAATGGGACTTATAAACAAAGCTACTGGGAATCCATTAACATTCCTTGAGAGGGTTTTGCAGAGGTGGGAGGGCCAGGTTTCTGTGATTTTGTTTGTTTGTTTGTGTGTGGATTTTTTTATTGTTAGTTTCTTCAACACAAATATCTTTGTTTCTTTGACCTGCTCTCATATAAACCAGATTTCTTCATTAGCTATATATTATTTTGTTGGAAGGGGGAGTTTTTATTCTTTCATTTTGAAAATTGGCTTCCAAATTAACATTGAGTTTTACAAGGACTGTTAAGAAGAAAGCTCAGTAAAATATAGATCATTACCAAAAAGATTTTAGGACTTTATGAATAACATCATGTCATTAAAATTTTTATTAAGACTACACATAAATGTGCTCAAGTTTTTCTACATCCTATTTATATTTGAAGAATGTCAAAACAGAAAGCTATTAAAAACATAAAATAAATGCTCTTGGTTTATGTACAATCATTAGTATTTTCAGTGAAGTTCTGCCACTTCAGTGAAATGTACCAGAGGAAAAAAAAGAAAAAAAAAATCAGACAAGCTGCTTACTATAACAAAAAACTAAAAATAACATCTAACAGTTTATTTGTAAACCATGCCCTAGTTACAAAAAACACTGGAAGAAGGACTAATGAGTTTTATATTTGAGGCCCATTCGAGATCTTAGAAAGTACTCAAAATTCTAACAATGCTTACCTTAAGGACACACTATACTCGGGATAAAAGATGCTTTTATATTGAACCCAGGTCCCAGTTTCCTCTTCCATATTCTGGTCCTCTACTGAAAAGAGATTGAAGGATGCAAACCTTCTTACAGATACTTGTTGGAGATGCACATCTTTCAAGTGCTTTTTCTTCAGAACCTTTGAAATGAGGAACAAGTTAAGCGTTAAGAATAAAACTTCAAAGAAAAGAACAAACAGAGGCCTCTTTAAGTAAAGAGGCAAACCATAATGGCTATGCTATCAGCTAATAGTTATGAAAAACTACTCCAAGTACGTCAAGCCTGAACAAAATAACAATGGTATTAATGGTAAGGGTCAAGGGAATGGGTTATGAGTTATGTTTCAATAACTGTAAAGCAAATGTACTGTGTTCAGAAGTACACAGTACATTTGCTTTTTTAACTCTTGCTTCAGCAGACCCATGCAAAAATTAGAGGGGCAAACCAGGTTCTCCCCATCCTCTCATTTCACAAAGTTTCACAGTCCAAGCAGAGCCCTCACCAAGAAATTTCTGTGCCACTCACTGTTCCTATAGAGGGAGGGAAAAAAAAAATTAAGCAAGAGTATCATCTCTAGAATCTAAATAGCTAAACCCAAAACATGATCCTATGGTGTCTGAGTACTATGTGTTTCCCTGGCAGACCACCTCCTACCTTATAAGTTGTCTGCTGCACATTTGCCAAATTGCTGTCAAAGCTGCCCGAGTTGAGAAACTTGCCACCTGTACCAAGCCTCAAAGTTACAGACACCACAATGGTGTATTCCCCTACCAGGCCCCCATAAGGGGACTGATGCATGAGCCAGCCCTTATGTGAGCCCCAAAATACACTGACAGCACCAAGTTCAGTGCTAAGAGACAGAAGAATTCAAGGTAGTGGCAGAGATAGAACGTGGTCATTTGTATTTCATAAATGATTACAACACTTGTTCGGGAAAGTGAAAACATGGACTCTCTTCCTGCATAGTCTGCTGCACTCAGCCATCCTCAGGGAGCAAAGTATCAACCTGTGCAGGAAAACCTGGCATCCTGCCTGTTTGAGCTGTGTCATTGCACAGAACAGACAACACAGTCAGCACTTCCCTGCCAGACAAAAAGACTTATTCCTTGGGTCATTGATGTGGAAGGAGAGATATCCTGGATTTAACTTTTCTCCTAACATTGGACAGAATACATAAATAATTGCCGTTGCATTTTTAAAATTAAGGTGCATATGCAGTCCACAGTGATGAAAAAAAAAAACAAACACCAAAATCAGAGCAGAAAATAAAGTCATAACTATAAATTGACAGAGGTACAAGAATAGCTCCATTGAGTAGGACGGCATCGCAATTTACAGATTTTTGCCAACTAGAGATAAATCAAATGAGAAACAGCTCTCAGAATTATGAAACTTGAAATGGAAGCTTTGCATACAGGATGTGTACAAAAAATAACAGGTCACTGATTTTTTTGCTGTATCCAACCTCTGTCAACATGCTTTAAATGAAAATGCACTCGCATTCAACAGCCTTACAATTTGAGGCCACGACCTCTTATTTTGCAGGATACTTCGAAGTACTACATATGTGAGGAGAATCACTGTGTTTGCTACGCTGCTAGGAACTAACAGCAGGTTTGAGGCATCAAGCTTACTGCTTTTGGATCCATTGGCAGGTCTCAGCATATGAAAGGCACAGGCATTTTCAACAAAGTATGAAAAACGGCTGTGTGCTGTCCACACTACTTTGTACTTCTGTACCACATGAGAAAAATACGTACATGAAGGAAATGGCAAAAACATCAAAACAGGAGAACCAAATTAAAAGACCAGCAAAATTAAGACCTTCATGTAGTACCAGTAGGTCTGGAAACAAAATGGTCCATCTTGACAACTAAAGAAAACCATCAAGACCTAATTTTCAGAAAAGCGTGTTGTTTGGGGGCTGCTTTAAAGCAATGGCAAGCCAAACATACATATAGGGAGTAACCTAATGCATGCCTATTTCTCTAACTTTGTTGCTAAAAACTACAGACTGGATAATGCCATCAGTTGCACACACTGGCAGAACTCAAAAAACAGCCTTAGAGAATTTACTCCTGTTATTTTCAAATGCATTTTCAAATGAATGGCCAACTTCCCTTAGCACTGATTGAATGCAAAAAATATTTTTCTTGATTCTGACAGGCTAAGTTTAAAAATGTTGCCAAACTTCAAACTCGCTACATACATAAAACATTTTATTGATAAAGAACACATAGGTAATTATGCAAACCTCTGGTTCTTTATGTTAGCTTCATAGGATACCTCATAAAAGGGTTTTTTTCTTAATTAAATCAGCGAGCAGGCACTCAAGCATCCTTACCATAGTAAATCAATTTGTGTGTGCATTGAATGAAAGCAAATTCAATATATAAACACACCACAGAACTGATTTCACATAAGCCACTATTATAAGCAGTATGAAATGTGTTTTTAAAAGCACTGTAAGAAACACTTTGACAGTGCTCCTTTAAAGATGGATATAAAGGGAGGTTGATACCTTCTTCCAATCCATTTGATACCTTCTTCCAATCCATAGATAGATCTGAGCACTTCTGTAGTAAAGAGTGCAGAACTGATTTTTACTTCAGATGTACCAGTAAGATTAAATTGATCTTTGCTCATTGTACCATACAAAAATCAAAAGAAAAGCTAAAGAACATGGGAAAACCCAGAGAATCTGTAGAGGAAAAGGTCAAAGATACATGTAGTTTGAGGAAGAAACAGAAGCCTTCTCCACAAATACCTACGCGCACCCTTCCACAATCCCATTCTGTTGTTATGAAAAGCTCCGTGTGATTTTTAAGAGACAGGAATATGCCAAAGACAGTATATGTTGAAAACAAGTAATAGCTAGTATAGCCACAGAGGTCAGCTTACACAGCCTGCTAGAACAGAAACCTACAAAGACAAACCTGATATTCCTACCAGTAACTTTGACATTTCCTGCTTTAGAGTATAATAAAACAGAATTTGGTCCTGTTGAACAGGATCAGCAAATCTACAAACCAAAACCACATATAAAATGCAATATTGATGCCCTCAGGCCTCTCACTCCGTTACCCAGCTGCAGCCAGGTGGCCCTTTCAACCCACCTTCTCAGGGAGAGCTGCCAATGGGCAGCTCCAGGTGTGCATTTGCAGAGAACTAAACATTCGAGTTAGGGCTGTAAATATCACATCCCATAACAATAACAACTAATTAAGCTGATCTGTTTTTTTTTAAGCCTTTACACATACGCTTATCTGCAGAGGAATCCTTTCCAACCTTGCATAGCTCCTGAAAGGTCTAAAACAGTATGGAAGGTTGGAGCTGAGAAGCTGCTGACACCACAGCACAGGTGTCACCACTTGCTCCTTCTTCCTCCTCATCTTCCTCCAGGCATGGCCCAGCCAGCCTCAGCAAAGTGCAGTTTTCACTGCCAGGTGAGTGGGGTCTTGCCCCCGCTCACCATGAAAGGCAATTTGGGGAACAGGGAGCAAAGAGCAGGAATGGGGTAAAACCCACAACAACCAGCCACAGCAGCATCGATGAAAAGTGTCAAACCATGGCCTGAAAATCCCAAGGTAGTGCCCTCAGGCTACAAGGTGCCAATGTGATGCTGGCCCTCCTCCCTTAACACTGGCCATGGACTGTTTGGGAATCTAAGGCACAATTTAGAATCATAGCATATCCTGAGTTGGAAGGGATCCATCTCTTGGTTCTGCACAGGACTGACGAAGAATCCTGAAGGCATTGTCCAAATGCTTCTTGAACTCAGACAGGCTTGGTGCTGCGACCACTTCCCTGGGGAGCCTATTCTAGAACCTTTTCCCAACCTAAACCTGCCGACTCAGCTCCATGCAGCTTCCTCGCGTCCTGTCACTGCTCACGAAAGAGACTGGTACCTGCCCCTCCACTTCCCCTCTCTTCACAGAGCCGTGGGTGCGTATATACACGTACATATTTTTATTATTACCACATTTTTCAGGCAGAGGGCTGCAAACCACTTTGCAAACCCCACCGTACTGTTGCCGGCAATCCTCCTGCCAGGGCTGCGGACAGCGCTTCGCACCCCCGCCGCACCAGCGCCCCGCCAGGGCCACAGCCCGGCCCGCGGGACCAGAGCCCCTGCGCTCCCTCGGGCCGCGCCGCCGCCCCCCCGCCATGCCGGCAGCCCCTCCCGCCCGCGGGCTCCCCCTACCTGTCCGAGCAGCCGCCAGCGGGCTCGGGCCGCCCCCGCGCCGCTCCCCTCGCACCTGCCCGCGGCGGGGCGGCGCGGGGAGCCGGCAGCCTCGGCCATGCCACGGCGGGAGCGCCTGAAGCTGGCACGGCGGGAGGGAGCACTGGCCGGGCCGGCAGGACCGCGCCACCGAGCATCCAGCGGCTGCGGGACCGGCCGGGCTAGCGATGGAGCAGGAGGAGGAGGGCGGCCATCTTTGTTAGGGGCAGCGCTGAGCCGGTCTCTAAGCGGCCGAGGAGTTCCGCGTTCTCCAGGCCCGGCACCGCAGAGGCGGGAGCGCGCCTCAAGACAAGTCGTGTGTGGCCTCCGGGCACGGGACTGTGTGTGGCACGGCAGCCACCCGAGACAGCCGCGCCAGGGCCCGCGCCAGCCCGCCCGCCGCGGCTCCGAGTCCCCGCGCTGACATCAGCGGCTTAATCGCTGAAGCTCCCGGCCGCCATCTTGCTTGAGGGCAGCGCCAGCCGGGAGCGCTGCCGCCTGGCTGGCATCTTATCCCGGGCAGCCCCGGCGGAGCGGGAGAGGGAGGAGGAGCGGGAGCGCCACGGCGAGTTCTTGCGCGGGCCGCGGCGGGAGGGACAGCGCTGGAGTGAGCCCCGGCCCTGGGGGGACACGTGGGGCCTGACCCCCGCAGGCGGGGTCAGCTCCTGCTGCCGAGAGACCCTCTGGAGAGAGAGCGTGGGTTTGGTGTTGGATGATGGGGGAGCGGGGGGGGGTTCGACTTCTCCAAACTCTCCCAGAGTTTCGTTCTTCAGCGCTTGAAGGTGTGTAGTTGCACTTTTCATTCTCCTCCTAGTTTCGCTGGAGTTAAACTTGAGCCGCCAGGAACGTGCTGGTTAAACTGCAGGTACCAGTTGATAAGAAACAGCCAAAGTTTTACTGTGTCTTCTCATATGATTTACCTAATGAATCAATATCATTTCTGTGAGAGAGGAAGTTCTACCTGCAGTTTATGTTACGTTTTTTTCATACGCAGTGTAAATGATCTGCAATTCGGGATTTTCAGAAATTTCAGGTTGGCTATCAAGAAATGAAGGTTATGATGTCCTGTGTTGGACTGCGAAATCTTCTCCGAGGGCTGAGCTTCAGTGTCAAGTACTACTCTAGCATTAACCATCTTCAAACAACATGTCCTTGTAGTAAAATTAAAGCAAAAAAATGCCACATCCTGAACTGTTCAGAATGTACACACACACGCAGGACCGCACCATCTGGAAGCATCCTGCCGTGGAGATTCTTTTCCTGCAAGGTATGCTGTTTAGTATAGACTCAATGTCAACAACCACCTTGGCATATCTGTTAAGGAAGCCAGCCATACTTTTCACATGTTGAGGAAACATAGTTGTCCTGGAGAATTTGGTGCAGAGGGATAAATACCAGGATATCAGTTACATTCAAAGACACGTACCGTTGTTAAACTTTCCTGCACTGCTTTGATGTAAAGCTGCATTTTCATTGATCTTCCTGGCGTAGTGATCTTTAAAAAACTGGTATCTTCCAGAAATGTTCAGGTAAAGTGTCAGGAGAAAACTGCAGGGACAGCTAGTGTAGAGGCAAAATATCCAAACTGATGACACCATACTTAACCACTGTGAGCTGGTTCAAAAAAAACTGTCATGCACAGAGTCAGAAAACAATCTGAAATAATTTTAGGTCTTCTGTTCCAGTATTTTTAATACAGATTTTGCTAAATGTATTATAAAAGTTTACTGTAGTATGACAGCCTGGAAACTGATTTATATGCATAATGCAAATGCATAAGTACTGTTTTAAAAGATTTGTGTTTTGGTTTATTTGATCTTAAACGTGTTTTCAGATGGATGTGGGGTTGTCCTAAAATTGCTTTTATTTGTCACCATAAACAGTTCCTAAGTCTGTGTCTTAAATGTAAACAAATGTTTCAAGAAGAATATAGGAAGTCTGGATGGATGAGAATTTGTGGTTCAGTTTATTCATTGGCACTTCACTAACACAGTTACAAATGCTGGTCTATGACACTGGTTTCAGGATACCAAACAGATGGTTTTCACCTGAAGGGAAGCTATGCCTGTTTGCTTTGAAGCAAATGTTTGCAAACTGATTGTTACTGAGATCCTCTGCTATGTAGACGTTTCTGGATTACTGTTTTTTCCCCAGGCAGGGAGGTGTACAGTAACTCCTTAATATATCCCTACACTGTGACCACCAGCTGTGTGTAATATTTCCAGATAGATACAATGGGAATTACTGAAAACAAAAGGAGAGCAATCATCAAAATATTCATAAAGAGTAGAACTTGCCAAAATAAGTTGTGGATGCTAAAATTTTACATAGAATCATAGAATCATCCAGGTTGGAAAAGACCTCTGAGATCATCAAGTCCAACCCTTGATCCAACACTGCCGTGGTTACTAGACCAGGGCACTAAGTGCTACATCCAATCTCATCTTAAAAACCTCCAGGGACGGAGAATGAACCACCTCCCTGGGCAGCCCATTCCAATGTCTGATTACTCTCTGTAAAAAATTTCTTCCTAATATGCAACCTAAACCTCCCCTGGCACAGCTTAAGACCATGCCCTCTTGTCCTACTGCTGGTTGCCTGGGAGAAGAGACCAATCCCCAGCTGGCTACAACCTCCTTTCAGGGAGTTCTAGAGAGTGATGAGGTCTCCTCTGAGCCTCCTCTTCTCCAGGCTGAACAACCCCAGCTCCCTCAGCCTCTCCTCATAATACTTGTGCTTGAGAAATAGGTATAAGGGGAGATCAAACATACACAAGAGAGAGTTTTTAAATATCCAGAAACCACGTTCAGCCCAGGAAATGCCTGAGCTAAAATTGCTGAAGGCTGGGGAAATACCTGTTGAGGAAAATAATCTGGCTTGTCCCATTCTTATGCTTTCCTAAGTATCTCTTTATGGCCACTCTGAGTTTTTTATTTGGTTACATTTAGTTTGAGGAATAGTGTTTTCTTAAAACAGTTTTTCCAGTGACTGGGAAGAAGGTGGTACAACTTGAGCACCCTGCAGTTTCTTTACCCTGACCAATTGCACAGTTGCTCCAGAGGTTCTCTAAGGGCTTTCACTATTTCTTTGCCTTGCACTTCCAATTTGATGTACCAGGTGAGAGAGACCCATTGGTCTGCACCAATAACAGACACACTTAACGCCTCAGTGATGTGCTTTATGTTCACAGGGAGTTTGGTAAATGGAGCAAATAGTTTCTTTTCCCTTCAAAGTCTACTTGTAATGTTCAGATTTTGATTCACGTGCATTTGTGAAGAAAAACTAGGAACAAACCAACAGTTCTTGATGCAAAGTGAGGATGGGGTGTAAAGCATAGGCTGCTTTTTAGGCTTCGACACATTCATATCATACACTGAGTGTTAGAAAATGCTACTCTGTATGATCTGTGCATTGTTATGTAGTGTAATATATGTTGTTAAGCTTATTACTTGATCAAGTGAGATTTCACATCATGCAAGAGGAATTAGCATTGTTCTAGCAGTTTTAACACATTTTTAACATTTTTACAATAGAAGACAGCTTTGTTGGCAATGAGGTAGCATGGAAAACCAGTTCCTTAAACTTATTCCTGATAAAACTGTTGCAGAACCCGTGTAAGTTCACTGCTCCACTTCATTCTGCGCCTTATGAACATTTATATTAACACTTTTGAGGAAGTGGAGCAAGAACCTGAACAAGGACTCCCAGATACTGGGACAGAGGTTTGAATGGTATTGTTGTCTAGGGAAGGAAATGAGAAATTACACTCTGAAGACAGGAAATTATGAAAGAACACCAGTGAAGAAGGAAAAATAATAGAATTCCATAAAAATTAACTAAAACCTAGTTCTAGAAAAAGAGCAAATATATTTACTCGTAATCAGTTAAGAGCATATATTAATAGTACCCTAAATTTTGAAGAGAAGACTTCAATAAATGTGTCAAGTAAAGCACATTTGACAATGCCTCTTAAAAAGATCAGGAAGAATTACAATAAAAACATAACTCAACTGTGGTTTTTCTTTTTAATGGCACATACTGTTGTAATAATGCAAAGTTGGTTTGGGGTCTGTAGCTCAGGAAATATTGCCTCAGTATATTCATATTGGTCTACAGTGTGCTGGCTTGTAGCCATTGCTGTCTTTCTTTACTTATCAGGAAGGAACAAGAATCTCCTCCAAAAGGAAGCAAAATACATCCGTAGTAACATCAGAGCTTTTGCACAAGAATCTTCTGAAATCAGAGCAGGAAAACTGGAATGACATTTCACCAATATACAAACCCATGACAAAGAGAATCAAAGAAAAACTAGAAGAATTTCACAACAAGTACACATTCAATTCAGAAAGCCCAAGGGTAAGTGGCAAAAAAATACATTTCCCATTGTTAACTGCAAATAAAAAGCAGTGAAGCCATTCCTTCTATAAAATGCTCGTTTATTGATTATTTTACGGTAGAAGTTTTGAATATTTTAATAATCGTGGGTAGTAGCAGCATGTGTTTAGAACAGCTTATTCCTGTTATGATAGGGAATTTACCTTAATTTCTCCATAGGCAAAAGCAAGTAAAGATACAATAATCATCTGACTTTTGCATAAAGAATACAAGACATTGTAAGTTGCAAGAGAATTGCAGTGATCTGAGGCTTTTGTTAAATTTAAAGCAAGTAGAGGAAGCTTTAGTACCCTAACTTTGAAAGAACCTTTGTGATGCGTGCAATTCCTTATTCAGTACCAAATATATGTGCTATATTCTGTCATTTGTATATGGTACAGTTCTGTGTTACAGAACAATGACTGAATACAGGGATTCTAAGGAAATAGTCTAACTATATGTTGGACTTGAAACATGCTTGTTTTGTATTGAACAGATGAGGTTTGGAGAGAATGTGTACTTTGAAGAGAACGGCTGCATATTTCTTTCAAAAGCAGATGATGGTAAGGGATTTATCTTCCTAATACAGCAGGATTCTTAAAAATGTTGTACATGTATCACTTAGTGTTCTTTTGTTACATTAAAGCTGAGTTTCTCTGTTTCTCAAAATAACTAAAAATACTTTTATACAATTCTTTAATGATTGATTAATAATTCTAGAATCTTGAATCTGAAAAGGGGAGGTGAAGACGGTTAGAGAATAGTATATATTGATACTAAGGCAAGTTGCTGCAGAGGAAAGAGAGAAGTCACTTCTTTTCATAGCCCTGATTAAACATTTTGAAAGCAGAAAAAAGCATTCATGCTTTTGTATTTCTGAGGGGGTGGAAAAAATTACTAATTGTATTTATTGAAAACAAGCACGCTTTTGCTATCTGAGCTGTAAAATTCAATATGTTTACTAGAAGCCAGGATCTACACTTTTAAAATATTTTTGGTAATAACTACAGGACTTTTTTTTTTTCTGGAACTGTAGAATTTTTTGTTTAGTTTTATGAAGTGCATTTGCAAATATCTTGCAAGACAGATATGTGGTGTTGATAAATTCCAGTAGTATGCTTGTGAATATTGCAGGCAGATTTGTTAAATACAAGCATTAACAACGACCATTCA